ATTTAATTTCACACTACATTGTATTGTATGGATAAACCATAGCATATTTACCCATTTTACTTTTTTTTTAAAGATTTATTTATTTATTCATACAGAACTAGGGTACAGGCCAGAGATGCGGAGGGTGAGAGGATTCATCAGAGACAGAGTGGGGAGCAGAACAGGCAGATCGACGAAGTACACTGCTGAGGGGAGCAGCGGACGGGCCAGGAGAGGTCTGCCACGCCATGTGGTCACCTCCAGGGCAGGCGGGGATCGAACTTATGCGGAAGTGGCTTTAGCTTCTCAGTGCTGTGCTTTAACCCACTGCGCCACCAGGGAGGGCCCCCCATTTTACTTTTGATGAACCTTTGGATAGTGTCATTATTACTGCATGGAAACAAAGTACACAAGTAGCCCATACATTTATATATAGCATTAATTTTTTTTGTAGAAGTATGATTTAAAGAGGAGTGCATATATTAATAGCAAAGTTTGTTGACATTTTCACAAATTGAACACACATCTTCAACCAGCAGGAACATCAAGAACATGACCAACTTCACAGATGTCCTATTTATGCTCCCTCCCAGTCATTAATCCCTTTCCAGAGTAACTCTCCTGACTTAAAATAACATACAAGAGTTTTGCTTGTTTTTCTACCCTATTCTTGTGTGCATCACCTCTTTCATTTAGTATTATGATTTTGAGATTCATATATGTTAGGTCCTTTAGAAGATACATTATTCAATACTGTACAATCTGCTGTTATATGATCACATCAACAATTTTTTAAACTATTTTATTGGTGATGAATATTACTATTGTTTCCAGTTTGGAGGTTATACATAACAGCTCTGTGTGGTTTAACTATGTATCTTTTGGTATACTCTAAGAATATTCCTAGGGAATAAATTGCTGGGCCATAGGGTTTTCATGTTTTTAACTTTAGTAGGTATTGCCAGTTTTCCAAAGTGGTAGTATTCTATACATAGGATTTGACTTCTTGAAGAACCATTACAATGAAAAGCATGTAAGCACAACCATTAAGAGAACAAGTTTTGGTGTTACTTAAACCATCTTCAGGTTACCACTAAATAGTTATGTCACCTCTGCTTAATCTCAAGTATCAGTTTTCTCAGCTGTAAAATAGATATAACAAAACCTTTCTCAAAGTTCAGGAGTATTAGATGTTAATTTTAATGCCATTTAGAACAGTTCCTGACACATAGTAAGTACTTTGCTTATTATATAATGGTTATTAAACAATAGCTCTAGCAACACAGACAATAAGAATTAGAAACACATAGAAGCAATATAATCCACAATTTTAATTTTCTGATGGAAGAAAAGTGAAGCTGACCCAAAAGGCATTATCAATTCTAGTGTGCATTACACTTGAACCCTGAAAAAAAAATCATTTAAACATTATCCCAAAATGCATTTGCAAATTACTCTTGCCAGAGGCAAGGTTCTTGCATGCAGAGCATTACCATCCATTTCCTCCCCTACCAGACATTACTCTTTAAAGACAAAACTGCCAAGGGCTACTCTGGAAAGTCACTAATATTACACTTTTTATTATATTTGCCAATTTCACACCTTCCTCAGCCCAACCCACAAAGTTGTTGAAAAGTGACTGTAATTGCAACTTTAGTTCCTAGTTTTCCTTATAACTTAGCAGTATCTAAGACATCTTTTTATAGACTTAAAGTCCTAAAAATGAGCCCAGATCTTGCTTTAAATTAAAAAGAACTTGCCTTGTTTTGTAGGCATGAGTTTAATAACTTCAGCATGGATTTCAGCAGCATCAGGGAAAGCATCCTAGAAGCTAACACAGAGTTACAGAGGTAGGTTCTGTTTTAGCTAATTGTTCCAGGGCAGCAGGTGCAGTTTTATTAGGCAGGTAATTTTGGAAGGTGACACCATGTTCCTAATAAGTTGAATCAGATCCCATATATCTGTCATTATTCTCAAGAAATAAAGTACACAATGTACTAGAAAAGATGTCATCTTTTGAGAAGGCCAGTGGTAGACCTGAAAGGGAACTTTGAACATTTAATCGAGCCTCTTTGATTTACAGATATGAAAACTTCTTATTTCAGAATCTTGCCTAAGGTCAAATGGTTTGTTCTCTGGACAAGCACAAAACTCGTGTTATTCACAGTTCAGTGGTTGCTCCTCTTTGCTCTTTCCTCTGGCCTCCCATCATCTTCTCATCCCATCCTGTTCCCCAGCACGATTTCAAAGATCCAGAACTGGGGGAGCTGAAGGAGTGTGACCTACAACCATTAAATTGTTAGGACTAAGTGCGGGATGAAGGAGGCTTGCCTGCTAGAACATAAGATTCAAGGGAGGATCATCTCCGTTTTTGTTTACCACTGTGTTCCTAGCACCTGTGCCTTGTACGTAGAGCCTAGTAATTGTTAAATGAAGAAGCAAATGAATCAATCTTAGGTGTCAGGTTGCCATATATTTACTATTTTCCTACCACCTCCACACTAACAGCTTGACAATTTATATTCTAAGGAAGAATCATGTACAAACCGCCTAGGACGGTGGAACCCATTCACAATTATTCATTGTGAATAATTTTTAAATGTCAGTCCGTTTTTCTTTTCTTCCTTTGCAAGTACAGGATACTGGGGGTAAGGGATGATGTGCCATGGTATTTCTTTGCCTGGACAGAAAGTAAAGCCGGTGTCTAACAGGCTGGCGTCTTTCTGATCCGTACAGATCAATTCCAGCGTCCCGAAAAAA